CTTTCTAGACTCAAAACGGAAAGGAAAGGTGAACTCCCAAGGCATTGTGGAATGGTGCCTGTCAACTTGTTGTTGGACAAATCGAGAACCCGAAGGCTACTTGCATTACAAATTGACGAAGAGATACCACCAGTGAGTAAATTGAAACTTACATCAAGATGGCTGAGTTGGTAGTTCCTAGAGAATTGGTCCACTCCTGTTGTCAAAAAGTTTCGGTCTAGGATTACATCAAGTAAAGAGTCCATTTCATGCAACCAATTGGGCACTTTTCCGTTCAACTTGTTGTCGGACAATTGGAGAGTTTCCAAAACTGGGATTTTTCTGGATAATTTTGGAAATTCGGTTAAACCCATAGAAGACAAGTCCAACTCAAGTAAGCGGGAGAAACTATAATTGATGCTTGATTCAAAGTTTAGTGATAATTGACCTGAATTTGAAAGGCGAAGAAATTCTAGATTTTGGAACTTGGAGAAGAGTGAAAAATTGACAGAACCACTGAAGTTGTTAGATGACAGCTGTATTTTTGTAAGGTTAACAAGGTTAAAAAGTGATCCTGAAATATTGCCCTGTAGCTTGTTGCCATCCAAAAACAGCTCCTGCAAGGAATACGACGAGATTGCAGGTATACGCCCCGTGAACTGATTTCTCGATAGATGTAAATACTCCAACGATGGCGAAGAGAAACACCAAGAAGGAATTGTACCATTTAGCAAGTTGTCAGTCAACATAAATGCAGTTAGATTTGGAAACCCAGTTATTTTGTTGGGCAGAGGTCCCTCTAATTTGTTATATGATATATCCAAGTAAATGAGGTGATGAAGATTTGAAAATGTTGATGGCAGTTCACCTTGGATATTGTTACCACCCAAATACAATTCTTGGAACCTGTTTGACTGATGAAACACATTTGGTATTTTACCACTGAGAAGATTGGAATAGAGAAGCAGAGAATTTAGACGTGGAAGGGTTAAGAGAGAGGGTGGAATTGAACTGTTGAAGTAGTTGTCTGAGAGGTCAAATAAAGTAAGATGTGTGAGGTTAGAGAAAGAATCAGGGATTGGCCCATCGAGTTCACAGCTTGAGATTTTTAAGACATTCAGAGAAGCTGAAGCACAACTAAGATCCTGAAGTTGGCCATGAAGGTCAAAATTACCTGATAGATATAGGTGTTGCAGATTTGGCAAACAAAGAATGTCATCGGTCAACTCTCCCTTTAGCCCTGTTTCTTCAAGACTTAGAGTGATCAAGGAGGAAGACAAATTGAGTGGCCTCAGTGACGTTGACGACAAATCAGTACGTTCCAAATCTAGCACCTTTAAATCGGTTGCATTTCGGAGCATCCTCTTCCATGTGCCTTCTTCCCATTTTAACAGAAACTCATAATCACCAGAAAGATCAAGTGATTGTAATTTTGAAAGACGTGAGATTTGAGGAGGAATTTCACCTTCAAAGTTTGAAAAAGACAAGTTGAGGTGTGTGAGGCTTTCAAACTCACCTATGGTGGATGGAATTTGA